ATCTTGTCTTTGTGTGTTACAAGTTGTAAGATGCAGGTTGTTCATATCATCACAACCAAATCACATGGTATGTCTTTTCATCATCATTATTATTATTATTATTTTCGTCATCATTCTTTTGTTAAATAACATCTCTATACGTACGTTTAATTTCCTTTATTTAACAAAAATTATATGTTTCCTTCATTGTTGATATATTATTATTATTATTTGTGGTCAAACGTTGATACATTATATATGAATGTTACCAAAAATAAGAAAAAACACACATGTGTCATTGTATTATAGAACATGACATATATATATATATTAATATAATATATAGTTGGATATTATTATGATGCATCCTGTACGTTGATATGTAATATATATATATTAGTATATATGCATGTATAAAGCTATGGTAAAAGTATATTGACCTTCATGAAACTTTGATTTTATTCGTTTATTAATGTTTGTTTAATTTTCCGATATATTATATTATACCGGATAACTTATATTCGATTCTATGGATGATTTACAAAGCTTCTACTTTATGTTTTAGTAAAAGGAGACTACTTTTCGTTTGCTTAACCCCGAATTTAAAGATATAAAAGTAGTATAGGAATTCCTCTTTTGAAGATGACTACTTTTAGTTTACTTCTGTATTCTTCTCATTGATGTTTTATCCAACAACAAAAACTAGTACTGTACATGCATTTGTATGAAAACCATATATACATTAACAACAAAATAAGAAATACAATAGTTTAACATGTCCATGTCAACATATATTAATCGTTAATGGAAAATGTGTAGTTGATAGAAAAGTAAGTTTAGAAAGTATCATGATCATATGTAAAGATTTTTAAACTAATTAATTTATAAAAATAGTAGTAAGAAATTAGGTCGTAATAAAGCGAGGAGCCAAAAAACCAAACACTTTAGTGTGCGTACTAATAATCTCGATGTGTATACTAAAACCCATTTCAACTAAAGCGAGGAGTCAAAAACAAACACTTGTAGAACATTTCAACCCATCTCTATTTTTCACTATAAAATAGAGTTTAAAGTAGTAAAATGTCCTCCAACTCATCTTTATTTTTAACCTTAAATAGTATTTTTCCTCTATTTTGGAGGAACTGTAAAAAAACTTCTACTTTTTCTTATAAAATGATGTATTGAAGAAAAATCCACATCTATTTTATACATAGTTTCTTTAATTTAACATGTTAAAAGAAAAATAACTAAAATCCAAATTGTTTGTTTATTTATTATATATAGAAAATGAAAGCAGGGTTTGTAATGGTTGGCTTTGTGAGGAGCTTGCCATCAGATTTTCTGTCGTAAAGGGAGTGTATTCTTGTAAAGATTTTTTTTTATACATGTATTATAATTTGAATTTTCAAAAACGAATATAAATTTCTTAAATGATGAATAAATATCTTTTTTTTTAAAAGTAATGTTTGGCTTTTGTAAAATCGTTCTTAACGAGCCGATCCACCAGAATTCCAAATAAAATATATATAAACTCGTGGAATAGATAAAATGAGACTGACAAGATCGATTGAAGACCCGTAACACTTATGCTGATTACTAAAGAAAGAAAAAAGTTCAAGCATTGGCTATCCTAATCTAGAAGACATATTATGATTAATGGACCAGGTGGTTGCTTAAAATGTAAATATAGATGATCACTGTGGATTTGGTAGGTCATTACTCTTTCTTTAGTAGTAAACACGACTACAGCCAGAATTTTCTGTTGTGGGCTTTTGAATAATGGGTCTTTTTTGGCATTCATATATACCTACAGGCTACAACACTAGTATTTAGTTCTGAGATATTTACGATTTTGTTAAGCAGAAGTGCAGAACCATGTCTACGATTTTGAAGATTTCAATCAAAGCAGAAAAAAATATTTCTTATTTACGGAAATTTTGGAAAAAAAAAAATTGTAAATGATCCAGTGAATACAAATACTTTCTTTCAAATAAAACTATAAAGTATATAAACAAACTTGAGCTAGTAGGAGCTCCTAAATAAACAACCTTCACTAACAATTATTACGAAAAAACTATTAATTTAATTTTTTCATGTTCTTTCTGGATGTATATATCTTCGGGAGGCAGATGTTAGAACTAACTATGAGACCCTCTCTTCATATTGGATTTTCTTTGGTTTCTGTGGTAGATGATTTTGTTTTGGCTAGGTATGATTGATCATGTTTTTGCTGGGTGTAAACTTCCATCCCATGGATTCTTTGTTCAAACTGGGAAGAAAGAGGATCAAGAGTTTGTGTGCAAGGCTCAAGAGAAGTCGATTCAAACTCATAGAGGAGATCTCCTTCAACTTTATGAGTTTGAAGTTTATTGTGTGGTTCGCGAGTTTGAAGTTTATGAGTTTCATTCAGTACTACTATCAGCTAACACGATTGCTCGGACGTGTCACAAGAAAAGAACGATTTCATGTTAATGTGAAACTTGGAGTGCCGGTGTGGCTCCATTATCAAGTGTTGGATCCTTTACCTTCTCTTGTTAATTTGGTTTTGTTTCTGATTTTTTTTTTAGTGTGCATTTACCCATTAGTTTTCTTTTGATCTTTTGGTTTATTTTGAATGGAAGTTAGCCCAAAAAAATAATTGAGGCGAAAAAATAAAGAACATGTTCAATAACGTTTGAAAAAATAAACTCCTACTCGACTGAAACTTGTAACCATTTTAATCTTAGCTTTTTTTTTTAATGATTGTGAATGTTTAACAAATTTTGAGGAAATTTTGATTCCAGAACGATTGTTAGTCTATATTACGTGGATTGTGATCAGAATACCATGTATATATTTTAAATCTTCTAATAGAAACACATTTGTTATACGTGTTATTTTTACTATTGAACACATTAATTATTAGTTTTTGCATCATTAAATATAAATTATAGTCTCTTATACAGAGATCGTGTGAATCTTTCCATTCAAGCAACATAGTTTGTCTTCTTCTTCTCTTCTCCGAGCGCAGAGACTTGATTTATATTACCTTTTATCATTTCTTTTGGATCAACCTTTTTTCTAATAGCATATATTAAATTTAATCAGAGCGTTCCTAAGCATTGTGTTTAAAAGGCCTACCTTTAACAAATGTTTATCCAGATGATAAAAAGAAGTAAATGGATGATATATACCTTTTTTTAACTCGTAATACAAAAAAACTACCATCTAAATCCTATTAAACTAAAACTAATTTTTTAAAATAAAATTCTGACTTTGAATTAATATATATTATATAACTTACTCCTTAAGTTAGCAGCTTTTTAAAATTAAAAGAGAAAAGAGAAACATAACTTTCCAAACGTTATTGAACATGTTCTGATACTTCATTAACCATATTCAAAAGATGGCATAACCACTTTAATAATGTAGCACACACATCTTATCTATCAATATCATATTTTATTTTGTTTTCTTAACGTCTATGTATTATATATGCTAAATGTACGTCATAGTCTCAGTGCATTTCAAAAAAAAAAAAAATCTAAGAAAAAAAGAAAGTTATATACAATTTTAATAGATAATTACATATTTACATAATCGTTTGTGTAAGTCCCACACACGATGTATCAATTGTAAACTTTTAATTCCGATCAGTTACGTGTATCGTGTAACAGTTTTGGTATATAACGACCTAGTTATCCGAACAGTCGTACTAATTTATCATTCATGGAAATGTAAGTACATCTATTAGGATAATTTAGCTAGATTTAGTTTAAATTACTCAATTTAAATTTATATGAAGATTGAAAACAGAAAAAGAACAACGTGAGATGTCTCTGTAATCAGAAACAATGGGGGGTCTTCTCTAGTCGCATTCTGGCATTATCTAAGTCATGTTTTTTTTTGTTAGGTTGATGTTGAAACAATAAATAGATTTAATTAATGTTTGTTAACTGTTTAAGTGTTTAATACTATTTCGAAATAGTCACAATATAACATTACAACCATTGCAAATCATAAAATGGGGCTAGTATATAGTTTCACTATCATTTCATCTAAGTTTAACCTTGGTTGGTAGGTGCCAGCTAATGCGCTTTAATAGGCACATTGCACACATATAATATAATCAGTTTCAACATTTATATGTAAAAAAAGTTTTTCCTAGCACAAAATATATGTAAATGTTTTGAAATGTACTATACGTTTAGAGGCCAATTAATTTAGCGTAGTATTCATAACCAATAATTCCTATCAACATTATTTTGATATGTATGTTTAAAAATGTACTGCACGTTCGAGCCGAAATAATTTAGCGCAATATTCATAACCATTAATTTCCTCTCAACATTATTTTGATATGAATTTTTCGTTTCCTTCTTTTTGATTTTTGTAAGAAAATAAGTATATTTCAAGTTAATAGGACAAAACCCCGACATTATAGTTAAACGAACTACTGAAATATAACAGCACAATTAGTTATGTGTTGGAAGAATTGAATTAGCAAGATATATAATAGATGAATCAACTATAATATCCTAAAATAAGATAGATTTTTTCTATTCATGTCGACGAGTTTGTCATAATAAAAGCTCACTATCAAAATAAACGACGAACAACGCGTCAACACACAAGCACTTAAAATTGAAATAGAAGAAAATAAATAAAGCAATCTTGTTCACATTTTGTGATATCTAAAAAACGGTGATAGATTTTGTTGTTTTCAATTGATCATTTTAACTTATGTCGACGAGTAACAAAAAGCTCACTAACAAACGTCGACGAATAAACGAAAAAGCTCACTAACAAACGATGACTAACACAAGCAACTAAAACTCGAACACTAGAAAATAAAAAAAATAAAAGCAATTTTATTCTTATTCTAAATGCACAAATCAATGACGCGTGTCCCACAAATAATCAGCACCACTCTCCTTTCATAATACTTCAACAATACTCTCTCACTCACTCATATTTATATAAACTTGCATCATTTGGAATGTAGAATCACAAGAAAGAAAAGAGACTATAACGAGAACAAAATGGGGTACGAAAGGCTCGGACCATCCAAGGCAAGTGGTTCGGTCACCACAACTACAGCTGCTCCGGTTCCGAACCTAAGCAAAGACTCCACGTCAGCACAACCGGAGAATGTTAATCGGAGAAGAAAGAAGCTTGTAGTGTCTTCAATCGTCGTAGCCTTCGCACTCATTCTCGCCGCCGCGATCTTCGCCGGAATCAGAACACAAGTTAAATCGTCGCAACATGTCCCAGGCCTAGCTCGGAAACCAAGCCAAGCAATTTCAAAAGCCTGTGAGTTGACTCGTTTCCCCGAGTTATGCGTTGACTCACTCATGGATTTCCCCGGCTCACTCGCCGCCTCCTCCGCCAAAGATCTGATCCACGTGACGGTGAACATGACGCTCCACCACTTCAGCCACGCACTCTACTCCTCTTCCTCCTTCTCCTTCCTCGACATGCCGCCACGTGTCCGCTCCGCCTACGAATCTTGCATCGAGCTGCTAGACGATTCCGTGGACGCCCTCTCACGCGCTCTCTCCTCCGTCGTCTCCGTATCCGGCGGTCAAACCAAGCCGCAGGACGTGATGACATGGCTGAGCTCGGCTCTTACGAACCAGGACACTTGCGCTGAGGGATTCGACGGCGTCGGCGACGGTGGAGTTAAGGATCAGATGACGGCGGCGCTTAAGAATCTCTCGGAACTCGTGAGCAACTGTTTAGCAATATTCGCGGCGAGCGCTGACAGTGACGGAAACGATTTCGCCGGAGTGCCGATACAGAATCGGAGGAGGCTTTTGAAAGTAGGAGGAGGAGACGAGAAATTGACGTTCCCCAGATGGACGAGGAGAAGAGAGCGCGAGTTATTGGAAATGCCGGTATCTCAGATACAAGCTGATATTATCGTCTCACAAGACGGCAACGGCACGTGCAAAACTATATCGGAAGCCATCAAGAAAGCTCCTCAGTACAGTACTCGCCGGACTATTATCTACGTCAAAGCTGGAAGGTAAAATTACGGTTTTGCCCCTACCATTTGCGTTTATCGATGTTATTTTTTTAACTGTTGCGTCCGTGAATAACGAAAGAAGTAAGTAAGTCCTTGTACGGAAAGGGGGTTAATAATTGCGTTTTATTATATCTCAGTGAATCTTCTGTGTGTTTTTTTTGGAAGGTACGAAGAAAACAACCTCAAGGTCGGTAGGAAAAAAATTAATTTGATGTTCGTTGGGGATGGGAAGGGTAAAACGGTCATTTCGGGAGGGAAAAGCATATTTGACAACGTTACCACTTTCCACACGGCCACGTTTGGTAAGGTTTCTTCTCTCCATCGGTTCTCCTTTTACCATACCTTTTTTTCACTTTTTGATCCTTCTTTTCCTCAAATAATACAGCAATAATGATAAATAGTTAAAGGTGATAAAAACACGTAAAACAACACATTATTAATTTGCTATTACACAAAAAAGTACAAAAACATTTATAAATTGGGTGACCCTTAATTTTTGGGTGCCGAAAATCAAACGATCTTTTTAGCGCCATAATAGAAAATTTTAAAGATTCTTTTGTGGTAATTACGGAATAAGTAATTAAAATCATGAAAAAGAGCTAAATGGCGGTCAACATTTATGATATAATATATACCGTTTTTTCCCGATATGATGTTATATAAATAAATATGTTTTGACCGCAAGATAGGTGTGCATTATTAATAAGTTACGAATGACAAAAAAAAAATATTATATAAGGAAAGTTCTTGGAATCAGATACGTGACGGGGGCCATGAGCTAGCTGTATAGATTTCGGATTGATAGGTCTAGAGTGTCCGACAGATTCTCCTAAAGTCAGAACCAATTACAAAAACTAGTTGTCTTTTACCACTTGTGTTTTATTCTTCATATGGATTATATGGACCACTAAAGAAAAGCTAGATTTAAGTAAGGTTTAAGTAAAACTTGTATAAAGAACTCGAGCCAGCCAGTAAACGAAGTCAATATTATGGACCACTAAACTTGTAAACTGTAATATCTGAGTTTTTTTGGTATTTCTTAAGCTTTCCCTAACAAATAAATTTAAAAACAAACGTCATTCACCCATTTTCTACCACTTCGGTTCCAAAACCTCCATAGCGCAGAACAACTTTAATTTTCTACCAACACTTTTTCTCACTAATGGAAGTTGATACCTAAATACCTAATTTGTTAATTTATTTTGTTTGTTAGGTTTTAGAGAAAACCATAAACTTGTTTCTTAAGTTTTGCTTTAGCAATATAAGCCAAATTATAACCAAGTTTTTGCTTTAGAGAAAACCATACTCTTTTATCGTCCGTATTTAATTTGAGACTTTTTAAAAACAGAAAATTAATTTTGATCTTATCTTTGAATGCTTTGTAGTACGGGTACTGTTTTTATTGAATTTTCAATCATGTTTACAATCGATTGAATTTGGTTAGGTAACACACTTACACTGAATCGGACATCCTATGTGATGCTGCCGCTTATCCAACCAAACTCACATGCATGTTGTTGTGGTTCTTAATGTACATTAAAGTCACACTTCCCAAATCAAATCAAATCAAATCGTAAAAAACATTCTTTTAATAAAAGAAAGTTTACATACATTTACTTTCATCTAATTTGCATTCCTATATATATACCCACATCCACGTACGTACATCACTACATCAGTAAATGCATGCAGTAAATGTATTTCAAATCTTCATAAGCACTTGGAAATACCGAAATATATATATGTATCAATGCATACACATAGCTATAACTAGAAAGATAAACACATTCACATGTAACGTATCTTAAAGTTGGAGGTAGGCCGCGCAATTCCCTGACCCACATATTTGTATATATATATAAACACTCATGATGGGAGACAGAGTAGAGTAGCATTTATTTATATATATAGTTGGATGTGGGTCATGGCTAATTTTGTGGTTGGACGCGTTAAAGACCACTAGTTGCATTAACATTTTTAGGTAAAGACATTTCTCATATACTACTAGTATATGATTTTTAATTGTATATAATAACTTTTGTCTTTCTGCATTTGTTGCATCTATATTTAGACATATATATAACACTTATTAATCATGAGTTAACTTAATTACATTGGCTTCTAATGATTATAAATTTTAAAGAGTTATTAAACACAAAAACATAATTGTGTTAACGTTCTTGTTTTGATTAATTTTTCAGCCGCTACTGGAGCCGGGTTTATCGCAAGGGACATTACATTTCAAAACTGGGCTGGTCCAGAAAAGCACCAAGCGGTCGCTCTCCGCATTGGGGCTGACCACGCGGTGATCTATCGGTGCAATATCATCGGTTACCAAGATACGCTCTACGTCCATTCAAACCGTCAGTTCTTTCGCGAATGCGATATCTACGGTACGGTCGATTTCATCTTTGGTAATGCAGCTGTAGTGCTACAAAACTGTAGCATCTATGCACGCAAGCCCATGGATCTTCAGAAGAACACGATCACGGCACAAAACCGGAAAGACCCGAACCAAAACACCGGAATATCGATACATGCGTCCAGGGTAATGGCGACACCTGATCTCCTAGCGACCAACGGTACTATCCAGACGTATCTAGGCAGGCCTTGGAAGCTATTCTCTAGGACGGTTTACATGTTATCGTATATTGGCAATCACGTACACACGAGAGGTTGGCTCGAGTGGAACACAACATTTGCTTTAGATACTCTATATTATGGAGAGTATTTGAACACTGGACCCGGGTCGAATCTTACGCAGCGTGTGAACTGGCCGGGTTATCGGGTCATCAATTCGACGGCTGAGGCAAACCGGTTTACGGTGGCGGAATTTATATACGGCTCGTCGTGGTTGCCTTCGACTGGGGTTTCGTTCTTGGCCGGATTAAACATTTAGGTAGAGGAAAATAAATTGCATGCATTTGTTTCCGATGATTTGTTTCATTCTTACGTCCTTATAGTAATGGACATACGATTAATCCTATATATATTTTTAACTTTTAATTGTCTTCTCTCCAGAGGTATTATTTTAATAAGATTGTTTCTCGAGTATAATTTTACTTCATCTTTTTTTTGTCTTGTAATATAATTGATTCAATTCGGTGTGATAAAGTAATCGATGACTGAGATGTAACTACAAAAAATTGAATAGATAAATTCTTTTGCCGTTTAGGAAAGAAATACTCCATAAAGTTTACGTTAATGTTTTATTTTTTTAATCTTATAATAGAGACTAAAAGTAATATTAAAAAGAAAGAAGATGAAACTGAAATGGATGAGTCGCCGTCGGTGTGGCGGAGGCGAACCAACGTGACCGAAGTCAATACTCAATAGGGTCACGGCCCACGACCGACACTGACTGTGGGGTCTACGATCTTGAGAACTTTAGTTCCAATAATTCCCATGTCCGACTCATTTACTCAACAATAATAGCAAACACCAAAATGTTCTCTTACGTTATGCATTATCACTCATTTTGATTTAAACTGAGAAAGAGTTAATATTTTTAATTCATGACCTAAGATTCGGTACCAACTGTTTCATTTGCTTCACGTCAAGAATTTGAATATACTAGAGTCAATTAAAAATCGTGAAACCAAGAACGTGTAGCATAGTGATTTCTTTGAGTGTATACATGATTCGAATATGTCAAATCTAAGGACTGACTTTTACCATCTATGAAAAATTGTTTGTATTTTTTCTTGATCAAAATAAATGCTTTGAATGCCAAACATACATACTTGTATACGAGTTTTAGAAATTAATATGAGTTTCAGTCTAAAATCTATTCCGATTATCAATAGTAATACTAGTAATACTAATAAGTGAAGCCGTAACCTAGAACATTATTAAGCAAATGTTCAACAAAAAAAAAAACCTAAGAACATTATTAGAGTATACAATTTTTTTTATCTTAATTCCAACCAGAATTTTGTTTGAACACTAGTAAAAAAACTGCTTATAGTCACGAAATTATTACGGTCATGTTGTGGTTTTTTTTAACATAGTCACGTAAGAGTTATGAAATAGTCACGAAACCATAAACTGTAACTGTATGTGACTTTTTCGTGACAAAATTAGTCACGTATTTGTTATGAAAATGATATGGCAAAAATAGCCACATTTTAATCACATCTATTTCGTAGCTTATAAAAAATAGCCACATATAAGCCATGAAATAGTTACAAAAATAGAAAAAAGAAAAAATATGACATTTGATGACATTTGCTTACAAAATTAGTCATGATAAAATCACAAAATGTGCTATATTAAAATTTTGTGACATTTTATTTGTAAATTTAATTTTTAAAATATTATAAATAGATCTATGTTAAATCATAAACTCTAAAATCAAACCATAAATCCTAATTAAAATCAAACCCTAAACCATAAACTCACACCATATATATCCTAAACTCAAATCTTATGTATCCTAAACTTAAACCCTATTTATCTTAAACTCAAACCATAATCTGAAAATTAAACTTTAATTCTTAAACTTCCAATTTATAAACATAAATATTAAATCATAATTCTAAAATCAAACCATATACCCTAAAACCAAACCCTAAACCCTAAAATCAAACCCTACATATCCTAAACTCATACCATAATCTGAAAATTATAAAATTTAAATCTTAACTTTCAATTTCTAAACATAAATATTAAATCATAAACTCTAAAATCAAACCCTAAACCCTACTTTCAATTTCTAAACATAAATATTAAATCATAAACTCTAAAATTAAACCCTAAACCTAAAACCCCAAACCCTAAAATCAAACTCTATATATCCTAATTAAACTCAAACCACATAATATGAAAATTATAAACTTAATTAAAATCTTAAATCTATAATTTTAAATTCTAAAATTAACCTTAAACCATCAATTAATTTGGTTTAATTTAGTTAAAAATCAATTAATTTATTGGTTCAATTTAGTGAAACCAATTGATTTGGGTTTTAGAACCCAATTTTTTGGTTCCCACACAAATTTTTGTTTTCCCACAAATTAATTTTGGTTTTCCCACACATCATTTGGTTTCCCGGTTTCTATGCTCTATGTCTATGAACACTTAGCCAAATTTCTAATTTTCTCTCTTCCTCTCTTACTTTCTTCCTCTCGCCGTCGGCGCTCTCGATCTCTTCCACCATCGCTGTCGTCTCTCTTTCTCTCTTCCTCTCGGTTCTACTTCTCTCTTCCTCTCTTCCTCTCTTCTTCTCATCGTTGGTTCTATTTCTCTCTTCCTCTCGTTCTCTCAATCCGATCGACGAATCCTGATGGCTCCTGGCCATAACCGTGGAAACTCAGTCACCGCCGAAACAGTCAGGGTATGTATTTGTCGCTTCTTCCTTTCCTTTTTTTCTCTTGCATGGTTAATCTTCTCAATACTGTGTTGGATTTACAATTAGGGTTTCGATTGGGTCTTCTTTGTTTGAAAATTATTCATTGTTTTGGATTTGCTGCTTAAGATTATTATTTATGCTAATTGTTAGTTTTTGAGTAATGGATTTGACTAGTTTCTCAGTTTGTAACTTCTCTATTTGCAGTCTGAAGCATTTCTCCCATTTTGATTTTGTTCTTTTGGGTGTAGATTTGATGAAATTAGCATTTAGGTTTTGTTAAATCTCGATTTTGATTTTACAATAATGTGAATGATTAATGCTTGAAATGTGTTAACTCGCGATTTTGATTTCTCGCTTTCCATTTTGATTTTACAATCTTTTGATTTCAATGACTTGAGTTGTTCCCTTTGTTTGTTTTTTCCATTAACAGTTTTTAAGTGCTTCGAGTCTTCTTAGTGTTATCATTCTTGATGTATCAAGTAATAGGATTTACTTGTTTGCTGAGATCATAAGTGCTTTGAGTCTTGGATCTTCTTATTGTTATTATTCATGATGTAACGAGCGCTAGCATTTAACAGTTTTTAAGTGTTTCGAGTCTTGGATCTTCTTAGTGTTATCATTCATGATGTATCGAGTCTTATATTTATTTTTTTCTTAAGTGTGTTTACTTGTTTCTTATAGCCAATCGTTTCTAACAACCGTGTTATTGTTATTAATGTGTGAGCAATGTAGGTCATGCCATCCCACCAGGAGCTGTGAGATCTAGAAGCTCATCTGGTCCTGCCATGCCACCAGGAGTAACAAGTGCTGCATCTTCAGCTCCTAATAACCACACTCGCATGACTCTGGAAGCATTAATGAATGATCCTTCCAGAGAACTACTATTGGGAGGCTCAGTTTAATGATGAAGTGTACTACAAATGGAAAGCGCACACACAAACTACAATTTGTGGCAAAATTAGCAAGAAAAAGAGAGAAAACCAGAAGCCCAAGTACATAAGTGAAGCTGACTGGACCACTCTGCTGGAGTATTGGTCAACTGAACCGGCAATCAAGAAGAGTAAGGATGCGGCTACATACCGCACATCAAACCCCGATGGAAAAGGGATGCACAAGCATTGTGCAGGTCCTCAAAGTTTTTTGAAGATCGAGTATGATATGGTAAATGATTTTCCTTGTCTTTTTTTTTTAATCTTTATGATGTCATATTTTCTACTCATGTTTATATTTCTGTTTTTCAGATGGTGGAGTCTGGTCTTGATGAACCACCACCTTACACGGAGCTTGTGCGAAAGACACACACACGAGATGGAAGTTTCATTGACAGTCGAGCTGAGACTCTTGTCCTTGAAGTAGAGGAAGCCGTAGCACAGATGGAAACTGATTCTGTTAGCCAAACCACCTCAACTGCTGCAACTCCTTCTCGCCTTCTCCTTAACCAAGAATTTCTCAAGGTACTCACTCATTCTTCTAGTGGCTTGTTTTATTGACAGTTGTATCGTTTTGACTTGTTGCCATTTTACTTGACTTGTATCGTTTACTTGTAGCCATATTACTTGAGTTGTATCGTATACTTCTTGCCATTTACTTGAGTCGTATCGTTTTATTGACTTGCTGCCATTTACTTTAGTTGTATCATTTACTTGTTGCCATTTACTTTTGTATCGTTTTACTTCAGTCGACTTTTGCTGCTTTTATGATATTTGTGCGATAATGATATTTTGATTGACTTGCTCCTTGGCCTTGTCTTGTGACTTAGTGACTTGCTGCGTTTATGATATTTTGATTACTTAGTGATTTAGGAACTGTTTTTACAGCAAAATTTGTGTTTACTTAGTGATATAGGAATTGTTTTGGACTTGAGTTGCCATATTAACTTAGTTATATTGTTTGTTTTTGCAGCGAAGTAAGACAAGCCGAGGCCGAGTATATGGAATAGGCAGTGTGCAGCACAATAATTTCATTCCTACTGAGTCAGTCCATGCATCTCTTAATCGCAGCATTGATACGGACATGCGTATGTCCAGTTTGGAGACTAATTCTGAAGCTGTCAAGACCAATGTCGAAACTCTCAAGTCATACATGACTGAACTCAAGGGAAATGTGGTGGGAATGAAGGATGAGATGAAGGAGGAGCTAGTGGCCACATGAGCTGCACTATTTGCATTCCTGGAAAAGTTTGCAGACTCTCTGACTCATGCTGCTGTGCCTACACCTTCTCCTCCTCCAGCTTCTGTTCCTCCTAATACCACAAACCCGGCTCAATCTTCCACACCTACACTGACCAAAGACAATCAAGCTCAATTAGATAAGTGGTGTGCTGCTTATTTAGGAGAATAACTTTTTTATTCTATTTATGAACTTGTTAAAGTTGAATGTAGTATAAGTGTGCTGCTTGTTTGAATGTTGTTAAAGACAAAACATATTTAATTTATGTTTATGTATGATATTGGTTTTATATTTCAAATTTCAGATTTATTGCTTTTGTTATTCTTCTATAAAGGTTTTAGAATTACAAATATTGATAATTAGTTACCAAAATGAAATATTGGTAATTAGTCACAAAATTATTAATTAGTCATATAGCCACAATTTTAACCACAAAAAATAATGTGGCTATTTAGTCACATATTAGCTATTGTATTTTCGTTGCAATATTAGTTATGATATAGTCACGAACATAACTGTGGTTAAAAAGACACAAAACGTTGTGTGAATAGACCGTGACTAATATTGCCACGAAATGACAGTGATTAATTCGTGATTATTTATCCACGAAAAGCCACGAGCCATATTTAGTTACGATTCTATAGACACAGATTTTTTTTCGTAACTTTTTGTGACTATAGAACTATATAGTCATGGTTTTTTTGCCTTTGTCACATAATTTTCCGTAGCTATAGGGAGTTTTTTTACTAGTGGAAGAGGAAACATACTTTTCCAATTCCAAAAAAAAATTCAGCAAACAAAACAAAAAATCGCCAAACTGTAGTTATGGGTGGAGATAAATTCTGTGCGTTTTTTTTTTCAACCGTAGTATTGTCTCCAATCAATTAACATATGATCCACATGTGTTTCTCAAATAAAACAAAATAGTCATTATTATTAGATTGTGGCAGCACACATGGGACGACTCATGAAACGAAGAAAAAATGTAATCCGCAAGCTGTTTGTTGCAGCTGTTTTCTTTTGTATGTTAGACATATGATTGGTTTGCATTAACTCATTCTATTGCATCAAGTGTTCCCATAAACGTTCGTTGTTATGTAGGTGCTTTTAAATCATTTTTAAATTTAATTATCATTTTACTCACAACACATGTAACATGATCACCACCGATTCACCATAGTAACTTTTGTTATATATTCTTTGTTCCGGATCAACCATACTTGTTCGATGACTTTTATCGTTTTATCTATTTCATTTTTTTACAACTTATTCCATTGCAACCAATTCGAGATCTACTAATAAAAAGCTTTTACATCCAGTGCCGGTCTAATCTAAATGGTGGTCCGAAACTTAAAAAAAAAATGTGATTTTTCATAAAAAAATTTTATAATAAAAAAGTGTACCATAAAGTGTAAATTGTTTAGGTTTTCTAATTAATATTTGTGATTTCTTTTTTTTTTTAAACATATAGGCTCAAAATTTAGTACATATATAGCTTATACCTATTATCTTTCAAATATATGTGGTCTATAATTTTTTTTTTAAAATAGTGGATTTAAGCCGCCGCTTAGCCCGCCTATGCTGTGTGGGCCGGGTCTGTTTACATCTGAACTCTCTTATTGTCTATAACCTTGATTTAGGTTTTATGTCATGCGATTTCGAATAACCCAAGTTTTCAAAACTTTGTCAATCATATAATAAACCTTTGAAAAGAATAATTGGTGGCTCTAAAAATGGAGCTTATGGCCCAAAAGAGCCCACATATTAATGGCCCATAAGACCTTCACTGTTTTTCTCTATTCCCACGCCAAAACAAGCTTAACCCAGTTCCCAAACAAGCCCACAAGGGCCACAACTTCATCGTCGCCAAACCCCAAAACTCTTCTAAAACCCTAACAAGTAGAACCCTATCTCCCATTTTCTCTCAAAGAAACATTTTTTCCACTCCCACTGAGAAATCTCCAGAACGAACATTTCAACCATGTCGATTTCTAAAGCCGCCTTTTTGAACCACCTGCAAACAATCGCGAGAGCCTACCGCCCTCGTGTTCCGCCGCCATTTTTCGCCGTCCGGTACATGTCTTTCGCGACGCAGGAAGAGGCCGCCGCGGAACGTCGCCGTCGTAAGCGTCGTCTTCGCATGGAGCCTCCGCTTAATTCATTTAACAGATCCCCGCAACAACAGCAGCAACCTCATATCTCTAGGCCTATCCAGAACCCAAATGTCCCGAAGTTGCCAGAATCAGTGTCGGCTCTCACCGGGAAACGCCTCGATCTCCACAACCATATCCTGAAATTGATCCGCGAGAACGATCTGGAAGAAGCCGCTCTGTACACTCGTCACTCTGTGTACTCGAATTGCCGTCCGACGATTTTCACCGTGAACGCCGTTTTGGCGGCGCAGCTCCGGCAAGGCAAATACGGGGCACTTCTGCAATTACATGGCTTCATCAATCAAGCTGGTATCGCCCCTAATATCATCACATACAACTTGATTTTCCAGGCTTATCTTGATGTTAGAAAACCCGAAGTTGCTCTGGAACATTACAAGCTGTTCATAGATGGTGCGCCGATGAATCCTTCTATTGCTACGTTTAGGATTCTGGTTAAGGGTTTAGTTGATAATGACAATCTCGAGAAGGCTATGGAGATTAAGGAAGATATGGGCGTTAGAGGTTTTGTTGCAGACCCTGTTGTTTACAGCTATCTGATGATTGGGTGTGTGAAGAGTTCTGATGCCGATGGTGTTTTCAAGCTTTATGAGGAGCTGAAGGAGAAGCTTGGTGGGTTTGTTGAAGATGGTGTGGTTTATGGGCAATTGATGAAAGGATATTTCATGAAAGAGATGGAGAAAGAAGCCATGGAGTGTTATGAAGAAGCTATCGGAGAGAACTCAAAGGTTAAGATGAGCGCTATGGCTTATAATTACGTGCTGGAGGCTTTGAGCGAGAACGGGAAGTTCGACGAGGCTTTGAAGTTGTTTGATGCGATGAAAAAGGAACACAATCCACCAAAGCTTTTGGCTTTGAATTTGGGAAGTTTCAATGTGGTTGTTAATGGGTATTGCGCAGAAGGAAGGTTTGGGGAAGCTATGGAGGTTTTTAGGCAAATGGGTGAGTTTCGCTGTAGTCCTGATACTTTATCGTTCAACAATCTGATGAATCAGCTGTGTGACAACGCACAGTTGGCCGAGGCCGAGAAGCTTTACGGTGAAATGGAGGAGAAGAAGGTGAAGCCTGATGAGTACACATATGGTTTGTTGATGGATACTTGTTTCAAGGAAGGTAAGATAGACGAAGGAGCTGCGTATTACAAAACGATGGTTGAGTCGAGTCTAAGACCAAACTTGGCTGTGTATAACCGGTTGCAAGATCAGTTGGTTAAATCCGGGAGACTCGACGAGGCAAAGTCCTTCTTCGATATGATGGTGAGCAAGCTCAAGATGGACGACGAGGCTTACAAGTTCATCATGAGGGCGTTGAGTGAAGCTGGGAGACTCGACGAGATGCTTAAGATTGTGGACGAGATGCTGGACGACGAAACGGTCAGGGTGAGCGAGGAAGTGCAGGAGTTTGTGAAAGAAGAGCTGAGGAAAGGAGGAAGAGAGGATGATCTGCAGAAACTTATGGATGAGAAAGAGAGATTGAAAGCGGAGGCAAAGGCTAAAGAGTTGGAAGAAGCAGAAGCCAAGAAGAGAAGTACACAAATCAGCATTGCTTCATTAATCCCTCCAAAACTAGACGAGGGAAAGGCATTGGATAACGATGTTGTTGAAGAAGCCAATGTGATGGAGCAAGGAGAAGAAGCAGGTGGATCCAACGGTCAGAATTCGCCGTCCTACTGATCGTCGTTTGCTCGAGTTTATTAGTCTCTATTTATATTCCTATTTATTTAACTTGTTTTTTTTAATGTAATTAGGGATTTGATTGAGACCTGAGAGAATAAGCTATGATCCATCTTTCGGTATAATTCCCAGGTTTTGGCAAAAATCTTTTTTCAAGGTTGCTTCTGGTTCCACTTGATGGTTCTGTGTATAGTTTTCTTTATTGTACATAGAAAGATTATTATATATATTAGAAAGCCTCGACGAGGTTAGAGAACAAATTATCCATCAAATGTACACGGCTAAGTCAAAACCAAAACAAATTAAGTCTAGATACACATAACCAAAAGCTAACCGGTCTAAACCAAGCCTTCCAGGAAAAACATTCAACTAAAACAGGATGCGATTTATTAAAAGCAAGTTCTAAGTCAAAATAGGGTTCCTTTAGAAGCACAGGTCACTACTGTTACTCAAAGATCCATGCTTCTTTACTTGCTCTCTTATCATCTGGGTGATATCATATCCTGGAGCACCACATCACATAAATATACAGAGAAATGTTAGCAATACAGAAACCAAAGCCTTGGATTTGAAACCGAAACACAAAGACATAATCATATAGACGATTCCATGATTTGCGGCAATGCTATCATCATATCAAAGTTTGGCCTTTAGTAGTCAGAAGAGACATGAAGTAGATTTACTACCTGATTGGTGGATGAGCTCTCAGCCAAGAATTTAACAAACTCTTCTTTCTTCTTGGAAAATTGGTACGTGACATGGTCACGGAGCACTTGCTCTCGCTTTATGTCATCTATCATTTTATCCTTCTTCCATTTCAGCTCTTTCATTTGCCTCTCCGCCTCACTATAATTGTCCATAGCGCGTGAAGCAGCTGGCTTTGCAAACCTCACGCTCACCGCATCACTAAAAAAATAGCATTTGGTTTCAGAACAGTGGAAAAACAGAAAAAGAAAAGAGAACACAATCCGAAGAGTGAAATATTATGTTTTTTCAATGGTACAGAGGTTGTGAGAAACCTTACCGGCTTCCAAGTGTGAAGATCCCGCCTGTTCTCATGATTCCTCCATCCAAAGATATAGCACCATCGCTTATGAGAGGAAGTGCATTCATCATATCAACCCTTGTTCTGTAAACTTGAAGGCGAGAGAAGACACTGTAGAACAAGGTCTCACGAAGACCATACCCATATGGCGTGACACAGAGCAAGTAAGCTGGATCGATGTGTATCATGTTCACAGCAAAACCGAGAAACCCATGAGGATGCTCGCCGTTAGGCAGTTTTGGTTTCAGAAGATCAAGCCTTCTTTGCGGATCATCAGCTATGTGCCGGCCAGGATACGGTCTAAATCCCACCAAATAAAGGTATAAGAATAAGGGTTGAAGATGAAATGTGTATAACACAATTGGTAACAGAGAAAAAGAGTTAAACAAGAACAAGTACCTCAGGCTTTCAAGGCAGATGGCGTCAAAAGGGTCTTCAATGGTTCTACCAATGGAAGAGCCAAGCCCGTGAAGGCCAGCATTTCTATCAACGTTGCCTTGGTTGTCATAAATCTCTAAACCCTTAACACCGTCGTAATCCTTGCATACAAGTGCCAACATCGAGCGAGTCCCTAAATAATCCGCCATAACCCTGCATTAATAAACTAGTCAGTTCCCAGATTACAAGAAACCATCACAATGGGGTTTTTTTTAAAGTGATCATGGCAGTGAGAAACGGAGACTAACTGGCTCAGCTTTTCATCATTGACTTTCCCGAGTTTCGCTACAACTCCAACAACACCTTTTATCGTCATCAACTGTGAAGCCTGCGTGCCATGACGAGACTGAACCAGGCATAAAACTCCAGCAGCTGAATTCTCGTGACGAAGGATCTGTTCATTGATATCTTCACCCTGATGATTTACGGTTCCAGGAGTATCCGCTGAATGAAGTTTGCTCATGTGAACTGCAAAAAAGGGACACTGTGACTTCTCATTCTCATACTTAATCCTCACAGAAATATAAATGCACAAACTTTTTTCTACTAAAGAGATGGTACAAGCAGGAGTAAATCTCTAAACCTTGCAAATCGATGATTGATTCATCAAGTTTGTTCTTCTGGGACTTGAGAAAGTTGAGATTATCCTCGTGCTGTTTGAGTTTGCTGCCCATGGCTTCAAGATCAGACTGAAGCCTCTTGGAGTTGAAAATAGCAAACTCGGCCTGAGATATCCCTCCTCCGTTCTGGGTTTCATCTCTTGAAGCTGGTGAAGTTGTTTCCATTGGATCCATAAGCATCATCGTTGATGGGTCTTGAGCAGAAAAAGGGGTGTTCTGAAACGATATCTGCAATTGGATGCAAAATCTGATTAAAAAATCCGTTCTTTTATAAACCCTAAATCCCCAAATTCGTAGAATCTGAAACATTCAACCCCTTCTTTTTTTTGGCAACCCTCAGATTTGCTTGTTCGGTCAATTTTAACGAGAAACGAACAAAAATGAGAAACTGCATTTAACCAAATTGTGGAAGTGAAGAACAACATGCATCCAATATAGTCGCATGCAATTGAAAGAAAACAAAATCTACGGAGAAAAATTCGAGAATTTGAACAGAAACAAACAAGAAAATACGAGTCTTTTCCTCCAGTTTCTCGAATTTTGTTTCTGTTCAAATTCTAATCTGATTTTGTTTGAAACTCTCTTCGGTAACCAAATTGTAAATTGGGAACTAACCTGCTGACCGGTAGGATACATTGCTCTTCAAGCTTCAATGCCACACTACTAGGAGAATCTCTCCCTTTCTCTCTCTGTGTGCTTCGGCTTTTTCTTTGGTCTCTCACTGAGGAGGAGGGATTAATTTTGCAGGCTTGTTCTGGAAATTCCAAATATATCCCCTTCCTGCATAAACACGTCAGCAATATTTATAATAATAAAAATTGGTGATGTGATTAGAGTTTAAACACGAATTTTGTATGAATGCTAATATTATAGGGAAAATTTACTAGATGGTCTAAGGGGATGTACTCAATTTAACGATTTAAGTTTTAATTAGTTTTTAGATGACTTGGTTAAATTATGGAAATTGTTATGATTTGATATCAAAATTCTATCAAACTCTACCTAAAATCATGAGATCCGAATTCTTATATTTTTAACTAGGAAATTCCATCAAAACATCTTAAAATCGTTCTAAGTTTTTTAGTATGCACTACTTAAATTATTTCCAATAACAGTGAATTTGAAGATATATTTTCAAATCATTAGTTCAATAACACTGAATTTTAGACAACTTTCTAAAATTTGTGTTTCAATAACAGAGAGTTTGTGACTTTAATACAAATCACTCTAAATTTTATTTTGAATAGACCCCCCTAAGTTAATATTGAAATTAAAAAAGTGGAGCTAATAATCAAAAATTAAGTTGATACATATTATACATAGAAATTATGATTATTTTATTTTTATAATTATTTGATATGGTTTGGTTGGATTGCAATTCGATTATCATACTAACTAATATGATATTATGATAGTTGTGTTAAATATGCTAATTAATATGATGTTTGATTAGCAAATTATACATATATAGAGTTAACTAGTTATCATAAAATAAAAATAAAATTATCATGTTAACAATGTTATCATATCAAAAAAAATTATCATACTAATTTCGTGAACACCATAACTATCGTGCGAACGTTGCTATCATTTAATAAAAAATAGGAGTTAACTTTGTTAACTATATAAAGTATGCAAAATTATCATGTTAACAATGTTATCATATCAAAAAATTATCTTAGTAATATTGTTAACATGATAACTATTGTATTAACGTTGATATCACCATCTTTCACCCTATTGCAACCATCACCACCACCACCACCTATAACCACCACCGACACTATCACCACCACCACCTATAACCACCACCAACACTATCATCACCATCACCACCACCACCACCACCACCACTACCACCACCATCGGCATCGCCATCACCAACATCATTGCCACCATAACCACTACCATACCGACATCACCACCACTACCATCACCATCAGCATAACCATCATCATTGGCATTGCCATTGCCCCCACTACTACCACAACCACTATCCTCAAAATTTATATAAGAAAAAAGACACACACACAAACACCGGCACTGCCACTACCACTACTACCACCATCATCACCAGCACGACCACCACCACTACCATCGGCATCACCACTACCTGCCACCACCACCATCAACACTGCTACCACCACCATCACTATCGCCACCGACAACCACTATCTAACACTTCTCTTCTTTTTGTTTTCTTTTTAGTTTTAGAAAAATGTGAAAATAAAACGTGTGAAAAAAAATGAGGAGAAAAACAAATTGTGTAAAAAAGCAATAAAATAAGATGTAAAGACTCAATCGTCTTTTTTTTGCAACAGTATGATCTAAAAGCTGTCAGAAATTGTCGCTTAATTTTATTATTATCTGAGTTCATTCATTACAATTACTCAATATTATATATCAAATCAACCCAAACAAAGATTTTGAAATACATTTACAAGATCCTATAGATCAATAGAGACAGATTCGGATTTTTGGAGTAGACAGAAAAAACAAAAATTATGCATATTTTTTTTTTAATCTTGACAATCTTTTTACCGGTGTGAAATTGTTTGATTATCATTTATGAGAAAGAATTGGTGAAATCTTCCATCTATGCTTTTTTTTAATAACAATCTTTTACCAACAGTTTTCTATCATAAATTATATGAAATATAAGATATTTAATGAATGCTTAATAACAGTTAACCGTTTACTAATCTAATATAGTTTTAATATGAGTAAATATTATTCTAACGAAGATGATTGTATTTTAATGTTATCTAGCGTGCTGACTTTGGTGAATGTGTTAGTCAACAGGCTGGAATGTTGAGTGATCATTGGTGTTCCTGTTATGATTTTGGGACTCTCACTGTGCAAAAACAAGCCCATGGTCTGCTGCTGCAAAGGTCGGAGGAGATTGGAAGTATAGTCTCAGTCTTGTTATTTTTCTCTTATCTGTCTGAAGAACTTTGTTTTGATGATGAATGTTTGTTTTAACTTCTAAACTCTTATGTATTAAAGTTGCCGAGACTTAGAATCTTTGTCTAATCTTTATTATTCAGATATTTTTGAGATTTGTCTCTATGATATGATATAATATAATAGATCATCTTACAACCAATTATTTGAAAATATATAATATCTGAATACCGAGTGATGTTGTTTGACAATGGTTTCTCATTCCATCTTCTCTAGCGTTTGTTGACTTTGTAACCTAATGGCTTTTTTCTTTGCCCCTGCTTCCATTCCTTCTCTTAAAGCTGCCTTTGTTCCAGAAGCTGCTTTTCTCTCTTATCTTTTGATTATCATCATTTTATCCGAGTTTTTACTGTTCATCGATCAGTTTCATATGCTTGAATTTGACAATGATATCGGCCAATCAAATCTTAATTGTTGCCGCGCGACAAGCTTTGCTTGCGGGTGAGGAAGATAACAATGTCGCCATTGTTGGACCCAATTTTAAAAGCTAATGGGCTTTCGAAAAATTGGGCTTGAGTGAAGAGAAATGGGTTGTGGCCCTATATGGAATGAAGTGTAAATGATGGAAAATTTTAAAAGTCCCACATCGAAAATATTGAGCAAAATGCTCTAGTATATATAGAGAAGAGTTAATGCTAGTGTTCAACTAGCTAACTACCTATGGAGTGCACATGAGAGACTAAAACGAACCACACGTGGGCGCCGCCAGCAAGCCAAGCCAGGCGCGGGTCGTGTTGGTCGAATGGGCCTTCGGAACGTAGGCGACTATTCTGTTTTGGGCCAAATTTTAATAATTATTTTTGGGTTCAGACCTTAAAATTTATTATTAACACTTTGACCAAGAAATTAAGAATCAGTTATAATTCGAAATTTATGACTCTTTTTTGCCCAAGAATCTCTCCTTTGCGTCAGTTATGCCTTCGTCTTTATTGAGAAGATTTGTAACTTGCTCCTCCTCTTGGCTATAAAAGAAAACCTTCACTTTCATTCTAAACACACAATTTTCTCACAAACATCTCTCTCTCTCTCTCTCTCTCTCATTCCTTCATAGTAAGTCTCGAGAGTTTAAGTAGAATTTATTTTAAGTTCGTAGATTCCGTTTTTTCGAGTGCTGCGAAACGGTCTCCCATCGGTTGTATCCTCGGACTCTAAATCGTACAGAACCGTCACACTATGGGCGATTTTTTGAGTTAAGGAAAAAGAATCAAATTCTCGACTCCAATTATTATTTATGTTTTAATCGTGTTTTAGTCTTGTTTCTACTATTTTTTTTACATCAGTATCGTCTTTAAGTTATTTATTCATCGCAATTATTAATTCGGTTTTGCGGTTCCTACAGCCATAACTTTGGAGGAAGAATTCTGATTTTTTTCTGTGATCGAGTGTTTATGGAATAAATTATGTGAATACTGTAGTTAAAGGTAATACTTTATATGATATGTTTTGACCAAGAATATCACAAGAAAAAAGAAGACTGAAATGTAACATTCAAAAAAAGATGCCACACGATTAAACATAACAATCAAATGCATAACTTATATGAGCTGAAACAAAGACATAAAGGACACCAAAAACAATTTATAGGCAATACTTTGATGATGCTTGAAACAAGAATAATACCAAAAAAGAATAAAACTAAAAATTAACATGAAACATATTCAAGAAAATATGCCACACGATTTACCAAACTAAGAGAATCCAGTGGTATTCAGCTTAAAGCCTTCAATTGTAACAAGTGGTCAAATTTAAAGATCATTCGTATATAACATTTCATCATCAATCATAAGAAACAATGTAACAAGGAAAGTAAATTATGGAGAAGACGAATACAAGTTAAAGAGACAAATTCCTCAAAATAAAATAAAAATAATTACGTATATGGCAGATATAAGGATTTCGACAACTGAAACGAATGAAATCTAATTCTAAAGGAATCCAACAATATTTAACATTAACTTAAGCAGCATGGATTATGGATTCTAATTTACTGCAAATTTATTAGATCTAGTTTCTTTTAGAACTAGAAAAACTAAAAGCAAAATCAATTTGCCTATGTTTTAAGACCTGTTCCAATTCTAAAATAAATCTCCGAGATGAAGGACAAACCCAAAACGCTTACAAAGGAGTAGAAAGAAAATAACCAGAAATTAATGTGCTGATCTTTGAAAACTAAAGGAGAACTATATGACAAAGAAAGTTAGAAAAGTGAAGTTGGAGTATATGAAGACATCTTTACGTTTACTCACTACTTCTCGATAATGTGTACACATAATGAATTTGTAGTACTGAGGTCAACCTGCATAAAAAACGACAGAAACAGATTAACCATTAGAGTCAAAACTCAGTCAAGATATAAAACACAATGTATATAGAAGAAGTAAAGATTTCACATACCTGAAAACAATAAAGAAAAATAGTTTTGAAAGATACCTCGAAGTTGTATTTATGCTTGAGTCATGCATGCTCAAAAGTTTTTTTTCCATTTATTTTAAATTATAATATTTTCTGTTATATTTCAAAATATATCTAATTATAAAACTGTAAATCTTAATATAAAATTTAAATTTATGCATCATGAAAATTGATAGATAGATAATTTTATTTTATGATTTATGTATAAATAAAAATTTCAAAATAATAATATATAAATTATTTATCTAATATTTAAAACTATTATGTATTTGATATATTAAAAAAACTGAATTAATTATAAAACATTAAAATGACATTGGTTCCATGTCAAAAAATTTCATGAGGTTCGCAAAATGTC